CTGCAACCGAATTGTAATTCGCGAGATACGAACTAAATACCTACGTTTTTATGAAGCAGAGATTAGGCTCAAAAACTTCAAAATACGAATAGCGTTTGGACTATAGTCTCATGAGTTACTAAAACTTGTGATAGTTGCATTAATAAGTTTACACATTCGAGAAAATCTTGTGTGCAACATCCCCGTATAGGGCGATAGATTCAATGGAGGAGGGTTGGGCGTGATCATATACATCTCTTTGTGACGAGGTATGTGTGGATGACTGACATGGTTTTGGTATGTCTATTGCCCTATGTATCTCCCATGACTTTAAGTGTCGTTTGGAAGGCTGAATGAGATTCGATCTTAGAATAGAATTGGATTGGCAATGATTGGTTATGATGTACTTATAACCTGTGCATATGGATAGGTTAAATAATTCACTATATTGTGGATTCATAACTTATCATGTCCAGTTATGTTTATCTAACGTTTTGACACAACAAATAACAGACTAAATGCAAATCTAGTTTGATTGATCACAACCTATCCCAACCAACGTACCAAAAAGCTCGAGTTTCTTGCCCTACCACTCAAAAGGATGCAAGGTACGTAGGATTGATTGACGTGGTTCTACTGCCGGATTCAAGAAATTTTCTTTTGTAAAGTAGGAAAAATAAAAAGTTATTAGACAGAATAACTGAGATTGTGACAATTTGGGGGTCCCCGAAGTGTGGTGTGGTGCAGATGAGTTTTCACCTCTTTTCCCATGATTTTCCGGTATTCATTTGACATTGATCATGAATTTTGAACATAAAGCTGTCTTCAAATAACAATTCACTGGCTCATACAAATTGAACCCATTTTTTAATTAATTGAAAAATCAAATAAAATACTTTAGTTATTTTTAATCAAATCAAGTACTTTAATTATTTTTAAGTAATTTCTGTGCAGCCGAATGAGCACAGACTCCAAAAATGTGGTCCAGGCAAAGCAAACATATAAGATTATAGACTCTTTGTCTCCAGATTGTGGTCCTAATTTAATTTAATTTAATTTAATTCTTTCTCTGTTCCAAGCGGCTTCTACTTTCGGATAAATGGTTATCTCTCAATCCTTTTCTCCTAGTCCATTAAATTTAAGAATCTGAACCGTTGAAATTTGATCAAACGGTTAAAACTATTATAACTTTTAAAGTGGCCCCTTGTTTGTAGTCGTTTGATCAAATTTCAACGGTCTGTATCCTCGAACTTGATGGATTAGGAGGAAGGGATCCTCTTTCCCTACTTTTGCATGCTGGCTGATAATTAAAACTTCAAAAAAAATGTTTAACAATGTTTAAATGTTTAATTAGGAGTATAGATTCATAAGGGCTCCTTTAGAACTATTTTTAAAATGATAGAAAACGTTTTTAGAAAAAATGTTTTTGGATTTCAGAAGTACTTGAAATGTTTTCTGCAAAAAACATCAGTTATGTGATTTTTTAAGTGTTTTTTTTCAGGATTTATTTGCATTTTTACTAGGAATTGACTTCAAAAATATTTTCACTAAAATCGCTTTCAGCAATTATAAAAATACTTCCAAACAAGATCCAACTAAATTAAACCCTAATTTGAGAAGCATATCACATGCTTTAGTGTTAGCAAAACATCAACTAGGACAGGAGTAGCTCACCAAAACATAGTAGTGTCCCCAAAAGGACATACATTGCCACTGAAGCCACTCCAACTTATAGGGCTTTAAAACACTTGGGGCTATGTCTTTACTTTTACATAGCTTCTTCCAACATATTAGGCAAAGTTTTCAGACCCATTGGGAGTAGGTCAACAAATTACACCACTTGTCTGTCAAATGAAATGACTATTTTGATCAAATTTTTTAAACTCAGTCGAATACTGGTTGGTTACTTACAATTAAGCAGTTAGTTCTCTTGCGAGTTAGATTTTTTGAAAGACGACAAACCATATGAATTTGTTAACGTGAAGAATTCGTTTGGTCCTAAATAATATCAAGGTTATGGAGAAAGTTTGATATTAGATATGCGACAACATGTGTTCCATCATTTGTTAGTATCAAAAGCTTTGCTAACATCTTTCCAAGAAGATGATGCTAGGTTAGTTGTAACTTTTCAATTCTTTCTTTGTGATTTCTTATCAATTATAATATGATTAAGGTTGAATATTTTTCAATTTTTGAATTGCAATTTGTCATCACTTGTTTGTCAAGTTCTTGTTCCTAGTTTTCAGTTTGGAACTTTGAGAAATCAATCCAACTAGTAATTAATGGTGGTTTTTTTTTTTATTCTTTCAAAGAAATCGAAACTATAAGTTCTAATTTACATGGGCTTGTACTTTTATCTATACAATCTAATCAATCGACATAACCCGCATTTACAATTAGTTGTAAATTTATGAAAACAACTTTCATACGTCAAATGTATGCCTCATTTCTTCTTATCACACACATTATGCTTAGAAAAGAAGTAAGTATGTACTCTGATAGTTTTTTTTCGGATTTTTAGGAGATAAATAAAAATTGCGCTTTTTGGTTGAGCCCTTTTTTTGGGTTGGCCAACTGCTTGAGCCCATATTGTGTTGGCCCAAATACAAACCCTTCCTCCCATAAAGAAAATGTTTGTCTGAGCCCAAATTGTGTCCATAATTTTGGTTAATTGGTTAAATTTTTTTTAAAAGTAGCTTCTTAAAAAAGTTGGAGCCTTCATTGTGATTAGTAAATAAATAAATAAAGTGCTTTTTTATTTATTAAAATCATGGATCCAAAATAGTAAAAAAAAAAAAAATCAACTCTACACTTGCTTCTAAAAAAAAAAACGTTATTTATTTATTTATAATTAAAGGAAGATGAACAATACCAATTAATGAAACTTTCATATTGACAATCCTACCTCTATCTTTTTTTGCTAATAGCACTTTTAATACTATAGTTTACCAAACACTTGTTTTTTCACAGTTTATTCTCGCAGCACAACATAAGTAATTTTGAAAAAAAAATAAATTAGAAACCCCAAACTAGCCCTTAATATTATATCAAATGTAGCTTACATTAACAACAAAAATGTGACATTTGATACAACATATGATTCTAATTGGGCTAATGGACAATGGAGATATGATTAAGAAGAAGATGATGATAGTTAATGGAAGCTAAAGTTTCACACAATTTGATCACTTTGTTGGAGTTTTTGATTTGCCAACTCACCTACTCCTTACATGGCAACTATCGATTTGTATTTGTACCTCACTCCACCAGACAAAAGATATTAACCTTTTCAAATTTTAAGACCACTCAACTTAATCATGATTTCCAAGGACAAAATGCATGATAAATGGAGTGCACAAGGAAATGGGTCCATGTATTGCTTTGTAAATGTAACCTTTTATCTTGATACTTTATGCACTATAACATAGAAAACAACATTAGGGGCATATTGCTTTGTTGTAAGGGGTCGCCTAATGCGGAAAAAAACGTGTCTGTCACAGTGTTATTCAGTTTAGTTTCTATCTATCTCTTCACGTGATTAACGAGAAAAATAGAAACTGAGGTGATATATTACGTGACTAGAAAATCTTTATCCACCTAGTGATGCGTTTCAAGGGCATGTTCGACGTGGGATTTCCTTCTAAACGTGTAAGATTTTGATGTAAAGTCCTTGGCTTATTTGATGGGGTGTGTTACTCATCCAATACAATGGATTGAAAGATCATATTTGTCAAGTTAATTAGTCTTTCCTAAACAAATTATAGCAACCCAAAAAATCGTGTCAACTGCAAGTGACTTGTAATTCAATTGGTTAAAAACATTCGCTTTTGCACTCAATTTCCTGTATTAAAATTTTCCTTTCCATAATTTAATTTAAATTATCATATTGTTTGTAAAAAAGAAAAAAGGGGTATGGGACATATCACTTAGGTAAGGGAAAAAAAATAAAATTCTTGTTTGGGACTTCTAAAGCATGGAAAAGGACGGCTAATGAACACATGCAATGTCAGTCGAAAGGGGTGCTTCCACGAATATGGTATAAATTTATTTATGATCCTACAATGTATTTTTCATTTTTCAATTCACAAACATAGAGAGAGAAAACAAAAAGTATTTCCTTCCATCTAAAATCTATCAAAATCTATAGGATATCAAGGTATTGGTAGAAATGCCTAAGCGAGATTATGAGAATGTGGTAATGTGTATTGAGAACATTGTAGCAACGGTTTCTTAGTTTTAAACTCAATTTAAGTATTGGTCTCTCAACTAAAAATTTGTGATTATTGGTCCCTTAACTTATCAAAACATGCAACTATGATCATTTTTGTTAATTTTGTTTGAACTTCCATCAAAATAGGTCATGGTGGAAGGACATTGCTACAATTAGATTAAAGTTGATAGATCATTTCTCAAATTGGGTCAAAGTTGAAGAACCATTGCTCTAATTGAATTAAAATTGAGGGATTATTGCTACAATTTTCTTATTTTGTTTTTGATATTTGCCCCTTATTTCTGCCCTCTGTGTGCAGCATGTAACTCATTTTGAAAGAAGTTCAGATGGAGTTGATGAAAATGACCATATATGCACGTTTTGATGAGTTAAATGACCAATGATTATGAATTTAATAGTGTAAGGACCATTGCTCAAATTTAGTCAAAATTGAGGGACAATTTCTACAATTTCCTCAATGCATATTAGAACAAAGAAAAATTTATGAATTTAATTATGAAACCGACCGTTCGTTCTTTAATAAAACATATGAACATATCGTCCCTACTATCAAAACCCTATATATAAAACACCCATTCCCATTCTATAGATTCTGTATTAAAATTTGTCGTTTGATTAAATAACAGACGTCTTGCACATGAAATTCCTGTTCTAATGACAGTTTATCTATCCTTTCATTTGGTTTCTTCTGTTCATGGATTGAACCAACTCATGTTTATCATGTTTCCCATTTTCTTTTGAAACTTTATTTTGAGGTTAAAGATATGAAAAAAAGCGAAAAATATATCAAAGAACGAGAACCGAGGCAGAGCCACAATTACCAAGCGCAGCAGAGAGCAGAGCAGGACACACAGTGTGACACTGTTAACCAGATTCCTCAACTTTAACCTGGATCCCCCCATCGGTTGCAGTAACTTCACTACCGCAGTTAGAGCTCCCACCTTTGCCTCTGTATACTAAATACTATATAACTCCACCACCCACACCCCTCTCTCTCTCCATCCCTCAATCTCTCCCACCTTCCTCCTTTGACTACTCGTCCAACCTCTCTCTCTCTCTCTGTGTTGGGCTGATTACCCAGAACAAATCGACATTGACAGTTCTTGGAACGAAAGAGAGAGGAAGAGTAAAAGATGGGTTCTTTAGATCTCACGCTCTAAAGCTTGTTTCTTTTTTTTGTTGGGTTCGTTCTGCTCTGCCTTTTTTATCCTAACAAGGTGAGCTGCTGCAATGGCGGAGACAGCGGCGGAGGCGAAGACATTGCCGGAGGCGGAGAAGAAGAAGGAGCAGAGCCTGCCGTTTTTCCAGCTCTTCTCCTTTGCAGACAAGTACGATTGGATGCTCATGATCTTCGGAAGCTTGGGCGCCGTCGTGCACGGCTCCTCCATGCCGCTGTTCTTCCTCATGTTCGGCGAAATGGTTAACGGGTTCGGAGAAAACCAAATGAATTTCAGAAAATGACCGCCGAAGTAGCAAAGGTTCGCAGCCCATTTGTTCATTTCTCGTATTTTTATAAAGAAAATGATTTCCGCACACCTAACTTTCTCTTCTGCACACCTCTGTTTATTTCCGTCTCAAATGCGAGAAATAAATAAACATATGGACGTGCACAGTAGAAAATGAGTATGCGGAAATCATTTCCCTTCTCGAGATTTCTTCGCGATTTCTCAGATCCCAGATCTGATTTTCTGCTGTTGATTGCAGTACGCTTTGTACTTTGTGTATCTCGGTCTCATAGTATGCGTAACATCCTACGCAGGTAAAACCTTCAAAATCCAACCTTTCTATTTTTTTATTTTTTTTCTCTCGCTGCAACGGAAATGTTATTTTTTTATGATCTCACTGGTTCGAGTCGTAGAAACTTCTTTGTAAAATAAAAGTAGTGCTGCGTACTGTAGACGTTCAAAGCGGGTAGCTTTGTTATCTTCGGGTCGTCATTTTTTAGTCCTCGAGATACTTTAGTCCAGTCCAATCCAGTCCCACATGACTCGTGCATCACTGTTCCCTCCCTTAATTTTTCATTAATTAATAACTTAATCCGTTGATTAATGAGGTTAAAGGCGATTAATTTATGTGACTTTTATTTGCAGAAATTGCATGCTGGATGTACACCGGTGAGAGGCAGGTGAGCACGCTGAGGAAGAAGTATCTGGAGGCGGTGCTGAAACAGGACGTCGGCTTCTTCGACACGGACGCCAGAACTGGGGACATTGTCTTCAGTATCTCGACGGACACTCTTCTGGTCCAAGATGCCATCAGCGAGAAGGTTTCCATCTTTGCCAATTTACATTTTGCTCCCTTTTAGAATCTCCCTAAGCATTTCTTCTTTTCCTTCTCATCTAATCGTCGAGAAGTGATTTCCGCGCATTATTTTTTATGTACACGTTTGTTTATTTTCGGCCTTTTTTGCTTGATTAAATCAAAAGACAATCGAGAGACGGAAATAAATATCGTTTTGTAGAAGAAAATCATCTCCCATATGGAGCAAAATCTAGTCTTTGGGCATTGGGAGTATTAAATTTGTAAATGGGGCTTATCTAGAGATTTTTTTCAATTTGTCCGGAACACGGGACAGGAAACCATACGTTATTATACAAACGGTGAAGATGTTTTTGAAATGTCTATTCGCTTGTATAATGATATATGATATATTTGTCCATGTTCTGGATACACGGATATTTGGGCATGCATCAATGCGGGGCCCACTACCTAATCCCTGCGCACGTTAGCAAGGACTGGCTTAACGTGCGTGGTGATGCCCCTATGATTATTCCTCACATTTTTTGGCGATTTTGATTTGTCCTTAAATGTTTGATGTTGAAAGGTCATATCCAGTAGGTGGATGTTAAGTTAATTCTATGATGTTTTATTATTTTGTTTAATTTATGGTATTTTGGTTTGTTTGTTTTGATTTAGGTGGGGAACTTCATACACTATCTATCTACATTTCTGGCAGGCCTGGTGGTAGGGTTTGTATCAGCATGGAGGCTGGCGCTGCTGAGTATTGCCGTGATTCCCGGAATAGTTTTTGCCGGCGGCTTATATGCCTATACACTCACCGGCCTCACGTCCAAGAGTCGCCAGTCGTATGCAAATGCAGGGATAGTGGCTGATCAGGTGAAGTTTTACAACTTAAGACAAATGTGTAACTGTTTTTCTTAAGTAAATTTTCGTTCATGGTGATTATATGGTTTCGAAAATAGGGTTCGATCAATCAACATTTGGTGTGATTACAATGATTTTATAGTATGATATTTGTTTTCGTGGCCTAATTTTGTAAGGTTTTCTGTGCGCCTAGGCCATTGCGCAAGTTCGGACAGTTTATTCCTATGTTGGTGAAAGCAAGGCCCTCAATTCGTATTCGGATGCCATACAGAACACTTTGCAGCTTGGTTACAAGGCCGGAATGGCCAAAGGTCTTGGCCTAGGGTGCACCTACGGCATTGCTTGTATGTCATGGGCACTTGTTTACTGGTACGCTGGTGTGTTTATCCGAAATGGGCAGACTGATGGAGGGAAAGCGTTCACTGCCATTTTCTCAGCCATTGTTGGTGGCATGTAAGATTCTAAGCCAAGAACTTTCATTTCTCTTATATTATCCTTTTCAGGCCAATAAGCTTCTTGATGTTAATATGATCACTTGAACGTTACAGAAGCTTGGGTCAGTCATTTTCGAACCTTGGGGCCTTTAGCAAAGGTAAATCAGCTGGATACAAGTTGATGGAGATAATTAAGCAAAAGCCAACCATAGTTCAAGACCCCTTGGAAGGAAAGTGCTTATCGGATGTTAGTGGTAATATAGAATTCAAGGAAGTAACCTTCAGCTACCCTTCGAGGCCAGATGTTATTATCTTCCGAAATTTTTCAATCTTCTTTCCAGCCGGGAAGACTGTCGCTGTTGTTGGTGGCAGTGGTTCAGGGAAGAGCACTGTTGTCTCTCTAATCGAAAGGTTCTACGATCCTAACCAGGGTAAGTTAGAGGCTTTTCGTAATTGGCGATGCTGGTTTGAAAGTCTATGATGCTTGATGAAAGGAAATATCTAACATTTCTTGTTGGTAAGCAGGGCAGGTTTTGATCGATAGCGTGGACATAAAAACGCTGCAATTGAAATGGTTGCGCGATCAGATTGGGCTGGTAAACCAGGAACCGGCACTCTTTGCAACTACGATACTCGAGAACATTCTCTATGGAAAGCCCGACGCAACAATGGAAGACGTTGAAGTTGCGGCCTCCTCAGCGAATGCTCACAGTTTCATCACCTTGCTTCCAAAGGGATATAACACTCAGGTTGGTGTCGATAATTCCCTGAAAGTACCTTGGCTCTGTGTAAACGCTATGCATTCTTCCCTGTCTTAACATTTTTAACTTGTGTGAATTCAGGTAGGAGAGCGAGGAGTTCAACTCTCTGGTGGTCAAAAGCAGAGGATTGCAATTGCCAGAGCTATGTTGAAAAATCCAAAGATCCTCCTCCTTGACGAAGCTACCAGCGCCCTGGATGCAAGCTCAGAGAGCATTGTTCAAGAAGCTCTGGATCGTCTCATGGTCGGAAGGACAACTGTTATTGTGGCACATCGCCTTTCCACTATTAGAAATGTTGATAGCATTGCAGTTATACAACAAGGCCAAGTTGTCGAGACAGGTACACATGAAGAACTGATTGCTAAAGCAGGGGCATATGCTTCTCTAATTCGATTCCAAGAGATGGTTGGGAACAGAGACTTCAGGAACCCATCGACTCGCTGCTCTCGTTCATCACGTCTAAGCCACTCATTGTCAACGAAGTCTTTAAGCCTCCGGTCTGGCAGCTTAAGGAACCTGAGCTATTCGTACAGTACGGGTGCTGATGGGCGGATAGAGATGATTTCAAATGCTGAAACAGACAGGAAAACTCGAGCTCCTAAGAACTATTTCTTCCGGCTTCTGAAGCTAAACGCTCCCGAATGGCCCTATTCAATAATGGCCGCTATAGGATCACTACTCTCCGGGTTTATCGGTCCAACATTTGCTATTCTAATGGGCAACATGATTGAGGTTTTCTACTATAGAAATCCTGCCTCAATGGAAAGGAAGACAAAGGAATATGTTTTCATGTACGTTGGAGTGGGACTATACGCAGTGGTTGCGTATTTGATACAGCATTACTTCTGCAGCATCATGGGAGAGAACCTCACTACTAGAGTGAGAAGGATGATGCTTGCAGGTATAAACAATTAGTCTTTCTATCGACTCGTTATATCACCTTGAATTCTTGAGCATACATTCAACTATTTTATTCAGCTATGTACACCATACATTCATATAGTCTAGTATTTTTTGTTAATTCGCTTTGAAGTTTACGTCTTTTGATTTGCATAATTTACTTGTTTTTCTTCAGCAATCTTGAGGAATGAAGTTGGATGGTTTGATGAGGAGGAGCACAACTCTAACCTTCTAACAGCTAAATTGGCGACGGATGCTGCTGATGTGAAATCAGCTGTTTCTGAGAGGATATCTGTGATATTGCAGAACATGACTTCACTCCTCACTTCATTCATTGTTGCCTTCATAGTGGAATGGAGAGTCTCCCTGCTCATTTTAGCAACCTTCCCTCTTCTGGTGCTAGCCAACTTTGCTCAGGTACACTTCACACTCTCAACTCACTTTACTTAAAAGAAATATACCTAAACCTGGATGTCACGGTGCCAGTATCGCCAGTCAACCGTGCACTGTCATGCATGTTAACTTTTACCATGACAATGTGTGATTGGTTTAGTATATGGCCTCTATGGCTTGCCAACTATGTTTTAGTGACTCACTTTGAGAGAAATTTACTCTCGGAATGTCACTATGTCTGTATTACAAGTCCATCTCTCACTATTATTTGTTTAAACTTTTTCTAGTCATGTGCCTAAGTCACTAGTTAATCACGTAACTTCATGTGTTTTAACTTTTCCGCATGTCATGTGCATGAAAGTTCTTCTGCACCACACCAAGATAAGAAAGTGGAAGCATTTTTTTATCTCCTCCCTCTCTTCTTTTCGTATTTATAACACCAAAACATATTTACTTTGAAAATTGCAAGCTTTATGCACCCAAAAAGAGAAATGCTAGCTTTTTACTTTGGTGGGTTGACCCAAAGTCCTGCAGAAGCATATGGGTATGGTCTATATAATCTTTTTATTGCATCTACCTTCACACCCCATGGAATCTTAAACTTCACCCAAACCCTACCATTAAACGACAATAGAATACTGCCATGTGTCACCACCCACTGCACTGCACGTGCCTCCCTCCGAGGCTTGTGCACATTAACTCTTGGAAAATGGTCACAGACAGTTAAAATATGAAATACCAAAGATTCCTTGAAAGCATCCCTTCTTCCAAGCTGCTAACTAGTAACTAAGTAGTCTATATGTTGCTTATTTTTCTCTAATGATTGTATATTTAGCAGTTATATTTGACTTCAAAGCGTTATCATAAACTAATTACGCGTTATCTTAAATTAATCATGCAATGTCTTGTAGCAAATTTAAATATATGACGATGCATGACAAACTGGGAACATCGCTGCATTCTCTTGTTTCCTACAATAAATAGTAACCCACGAGCTGGCACTGCACATCACAGAGCTACAGCTTATACTGTCATCTGTCTGAATTTATAGGCCCCAAAATTTGTCACAATAATTTATACTTTTCCTTTTCTTTTTTTTCACTGAAAACTCCCATGTGCTGAGAGTTACAAGAGATACTATACTCCCGTGACCACATTGTGTAATATGGTAGATTCCTTTTACTTTTTTTCAGAGCTTTTTCTGATAGATTTAAGTCCTTGGCCTTTGTTTTGTTGTTTTTGGCGGGCCTGCTTTGAGTAAGTAACGAGCCCGTCAAAAGAGAAAAACTTACCTGCACCTGAGATGACACTGAAGCATTGCCGTGTGTTTTTTACTTAGTTTTGTTTTTTTTTTTTTGGGTTTTGAGTAAGTAATGAGTTGGTAACTTGTTCGAAGGAGAGAAACTTACTAGCACCTGGAATGACACAGTGCCAGTATCGCCTGTCGTTGGCATTGTCATGTGTTTTAACTTTTCTGCTGAAGACCTCACCAAATTGTATCAAGAAATAACTATCGACCATCAAGCCAACAAAGAACGGAACAAACTCTAACTAAATGGAAATTTCTGTTAGTAAAGAACCTTATTAGTTATTACTCATTTACGTAATGCAGTTTACTGACTGTTTAATCCTGCAATTGTGCGTTATGCAGCAACTTTCTTTGAAGGGCTTTGCTGGAGACACAGCCAAGGCTCATGCAAAGACGAGCATGATTGCTGGGGAGGGAGTGAGCAACATTCGGACAGTCGCCGCCTTCAATGCCCAAAACAAGATCCTATCTCTGTTCTGCCACGAGCTCCGTCTCCCACTGCTGGGAAGCCTCCGCCGCAGCCAAACTGCTGGCGTCCTATTTGGCCTCTCTCAGTTTGCTCTCCATGCCTCTGAAGCTCTCATTTTGTGGTATGGTGCCCACCTCGTTAGCAAAGGTGTCTCCACCTTCTCGAAAGTTATTAAGGTTTTCATTGTCCTTGTTGTAACGGCGAATTCAGTTGCTGAAACTGTCAGCCTTGCCCCGGAGATTATCAGGGGCGGTGAAGCAGTTGGTTCGGTATTTTCAATCCTTGATCGTCAAACAAGGATTGACCCGGATGATCCTGAGGCTGAGGTGGTTGAATCAGTTCGCGGAGAAATTGAACTTAGGCATGTTGATTTTGCATATCCATCGCGACCTGATATCATGGTGTTCAAAGATTTTAGTCTCAGAATCCGTACTGGCCACAGCCAAGCGCTTGTCGGAGTTAGTGGTTCGGGAAAGAGTTCTGTGATTGCATTGATCGAGCGATTTTATGATCCATTAGTTGGGAAAGTAATGATCGATGGCAAGGACATCCGCCGGTTGAACTTGAAGTCTCTTCGGTTGAAAATTGGACTGGTGCAACAAGAACCAGCCCTGTTTGCAGCAAGCATCTTTGAAAACATTGCCTACGGCAAAGAAGGCGCAACCGAAGCAGAAGTAATCGAAGCTGCACGTACTGCTAACGTGCATGGTTTCGTTAGCGGATTGCCTGATGGATACAAAACCCCGGTTGGGGAGCGAGGAGTTCAGCTCTCTGGCGGACAGAAACAAAGAATTGCAATAGCAAGGGCGGTGCTCAAGGACCCTAGAATACTCTTGCTAGATGAGGCCACAAGTGCACTTGATGCTGAATCAGAATGTGTGTTGCAAGAAGCACTTGAGAGGCTAATGAAGGGCCGCACCACCGTGCTAGTTGCCCACCGTTTATCGACAATTAGAGGGGTGGACAGCATTGGCGTGGTGCAAGACGGGCGCATTGTGGAACACGGCAGCCATTCGGAACTAGTGAGCCGCCCCGACGGAGCTTACTCAAGGCTGTTGCAGCTGCAAAATCATCACGTATGAGAAGAGTTTTGGTCAAAAGCAAGCATGCATGCATGGATGGCCTTGTTGGGTGTTAATTATGTGTGTCCCCTATTTTTCTTAGTTTGTAGATATTGGCAAATGTGTCTGAACAATTTCTCTCTAATCTCTAAAGCAAGTATTATATTATTAATCAAATATCATATCTTTCCTTTCTCCTTTTAGAGAAGCTTTCCTCAGCATTCTTTCCCCATTGCATGTGTTTCCAACTTTTATATATTTTTCTATTAAGAACATGTCTTTTTAAAGGTGACTATTTCAGATACGATATAAAATTTATAGAATTGAAAGACATAATAAAACTCGTGGGATTATAAGATCTTTGATGTATACGCAGTTAACACGACTAACGTTGTTAAACGAATGTTGGTAAACCTAAACACTCCTCATCGATGCCCGTACTTTACTAGGGATTAAAGGCCTACAAAAATGCAAGGGTTGTCCCTTAATAATAAAATGGAGACACATTCATTTGTCGCAGATGGTGTGAATGTGAAGCTTGAGAATGTGCGGCAGTACTGATGACAATAATGAAACCACTTGTTTTGCAAAGTAAAGCAGAAAAAGGGTCCATATTTTTAATTATTTACTCTTTTTCCCCCTTCTATTAGTGAAGTTGTGAGGCCCCAACTCTTTTCAATTCATTGAGTGCCCCGATACTTGTATATTTTGAGGACTCCCTTTTGGCTATGGATTGTCTGCTTCCCCATCTCATACTCTCCTATTTATGTGGTTACGGTTAAGTCACGTCAATATTTTATATTCTAATTGCTTTTTATCTTATTATTTTTATAAAAAAATCAATATAAAATGTTGACGTGACTTAACCGTGACCACATAATATAGGAGGGCATGGGAAATGTATGAGATGGGGAGGGCAGACAATCTAAGTCCCTCCCTTTTTCTGAATGTGCAGTAAATTAGTGGGTTTCCAGAAGAAGGGTGTGCTATTTACACTATCATTTTTATTTTTCACACATTCTTCCTACATTTCGGTTGTCGAATTAGATGAATTGAAAAAGATCAATGGCAAAAAAATTGGTATGTAAAATATAAAAATAAGTGTGTGAATAACATTATTCTTTCATAAATGTCCTGTCGATATTCAAACATCTGAAAGATAAAACTAGATAAAATAGTAAATTCATAATTTCATAAAAAAAAAAAAGGCTTTCAAAGGAGGTCTTCTGATAATTTTACAGTTTGAATATTTCATCGAGTTGGCAGTCGGACATTTGAGAGAGTAAAAAAGAGGCATGGCAAGGAGAAAGATGACATGCATCATGTGTTTCTCAGTGGACAGTCTCAATTATATTTTTCCTGCTTTCTGTTGTATGTACAAATAGTGATACATCTGAATGTGGCATAACAATTAACTAGGGTTTTTTTCAGGTCTCTCATTACACCTTCTAGGTACACACACTATTGAATCTTTGATGAGTTTTAACCTGTTTTGGATTGTTGTAAGAAGTTGTTAGCTTAGATGGTTAAGAGAATTTACTCATGCATTTAAAGTTTTGAGTTCAATTCTCTCTCTTTCTCCCCTCCACTGTATTGAGTGTAAGAAGAAACTATTTTGAATTGCTTTTGGAATGACTAAAAGTATTTTAAAACAAACTAAAAGTATGTGACGCTTGTTTGCGGAAAAAAACTTTTAAATGTTTATGATTCATAGAATTGATGTTTTCCAGAAAAACACCTTGTGAAAAGTAATTCTAACAAGGGAAGTGATTTTCACACATTTTTTAGCCTCTTACAAACTCCTGCATAATCTTGACTGTTGATTCCATTTGATTTATTTAACTCAATTTTCATCAATAAATGGTGGTGCCATCCACACTCATATTTTTACTTTTCACACATCCTTCTTAATTTTTTACTGTCTGATCAAATGAATTTAAAAAGATCAATGACCAAAAATTAATAAGGGTGTGGGGAGGCAAAAATGAGTATGTAAATAACATTATCCTAAATAAAAAGAGGTGTGAAAATTATTGAGAATGAATCTAACATTGTCAATTGCCAATTAGTTTAATTGTAGAACATCAAATGTTTTATAGTAGCAGATCATGTTGTCTCATGTGTGAAGCCAACGACCACATGTGCTCCACGTCACTCCGTTTGTGTTGTCCACGTGTTATGCTTAAAAATTCGCCATACGTAAGAGGACGTGTTGGGAGTCAATTCCACATTGACGGGAGAAAAGATCTTGCATGAACTTATAAATAATTTAATTTACTTACCATATTGTCAATTAGTTTTACAGTGAAAACCTAACTTTTTCAAAAATCACTTCCTTCTAACAACTCATGAGTAAAAGTACTTATATATACTTGGCTGTATTGAGACTGGAAATAGAAAAGGACAAGTGAAGATGGTGAAAACGAAAGTGATAATGAAAGGGAAGAAATTGGAAGGTAGCTTTAGATTCTTGAGGGTCCCTTTATTCATGTTTCTGCTTCTGCTTCTGCTGCTGCTTCTGCAGGAGAAGATAGAGAGGTATGACTGTTTCAGTGTTGACTGCTATGTATGTATGCATGGCAAAGGTCACAGGGTCGACCCCATCTCTCAGGCCGTACCATTTTGGCAAGAATTTCAATCACAGGATCTTGTGATGAATGATGCAATGGATGTCCTTGTTACTTATGAGTGGTTTTCACCAACCCTAATGATTTGGGACCCGTTTTTATGAGTGGTTTTGATGAAGAACACTTGGTAGATATGAATTCATGCAACAATTAGATCCACGTAGGAGTCTTAAAATTTTGAATTTTATGTTTGAGAAATTGGTTGGAGTAAGGATTTTACCAATCTCAGTTATCAAACAGATCAAAAAAACAAATAACGATATTCGAGAAGTTAATTAAATTTCTTTTGTGTTCTTTTATTAATTAATCTCCAAATCCTAATACGATTTAGACTATCAATTTTAGGGCTGGTTTGATATTGCTGTGCTTTGAAAAAAAACTGATGTGAGAATAAGCGGCTGTGAAAAAAATCAGCAGAGTGTTTGGTAAACATTTTTGTAAAAGTGCTTTTGAAAAAAAAGCAGTCTGATAGTGGGTCTTTTCATTAAAGGAGCACTGTAGCTCCGTGTGCTTTGAAAAAAAGCCAGTTTTCCAAAGCTACAAATAGCAGGTTCAACTTTTTCCTTTGATTTCAGCTTATTCTCACAGCATCTTCCAAAATAAGCTTTTTTTTTTTTTTCAGTTTACCAAACACCTAAAACCCTCACAGCTTTTTTTCATGGTTGCTTTTTTTTTAAGCACCTCACTCCCAAACCACCCCTTAGTTTCTCATTTCAAGTAGATTTTTGGCTTGATTCCTACGTAAAGTCTTAGCAGCTCTTATGCTTATCTACGCGACACAAAAAACAAATTAATAAACACAAACAGATATTACTGCCGGTTGGAAAAACACATTGTCTCGTGCCAATGATATATATCTTGCTAAGCAAACTAAGAAGGAGAATATCAAAGAGGAAGTTAACTGATCAGGGTACTTGATTCATCCCTTGTTTTGCAAGAGGAATTGAATTTAAACAACTTTCAATAATTGAGATAATATTATTGAAGAAGATAGATCAAGTGGGCAGGTCAGGGCAAGGCAATCCATAACTTTAATTGAATCTGCAGAAGAAGAAGATAATTGTTGACATTGATGACCTGTCACCTGTCTGTGTGAAGGCCATGGCCAACCAATTATCTTCAATAATTCTGATAAGCTGCGCATGCTCTACTATTTAGATCAAAGTTTGATAAAGAGAAGCACTCAGCATAAATATTTTTAGGGTTTCATTCAAAGATTTTTTTAGGCTTTCATTGTCAATAAATTTGGTGGAGGAGGGACGGGCGGGGTGTTTTTGGTGTAATGATCCTCTTCCCTTTAGGGGAGAGTAGATGCCTCGAAAATGACCATTATCGAAAAACTAATCTCACTTAATCGTTCTCCATTTAAAGAAAAAATACAGCTAGCTAGCTTATGTTTTTATCAATTAATGGTTAATTTCAACTTTTTAAGGATAATATTTTCGACTGCTTCGATTTGTCCTGATCCTCAGGTGAACAGTCCAAAGATAATATGTGTTCCCCATTGCTGCAATGATACATATGAATTATTACAAAGGTATTGCAGTACATCTGAGAGATTAAGAAAATGCTCCAAAATTCAAATTTTCATCTTTTGATAGAAAAGTTGATACAAGTTTTTAACTTAATTGACGCATTATATTGTTAAGTTGCCAAAACTACGTAAAAATTGACAATGAACATTATTTATAGTGCATTTGAGGTCTTGTGTTCGAATCTTTAATATCCTAATATTGCTTGTATAAATACATTTTAGAAGACATTTTGAACAATAAATCCTACTTAATGAACATAAAAGGAAAGGAATATGGGGAAACGCACAAGTTATTGGTTGTTTTTTGAAGAAGGGATGGGCCGGCTCTATTTGGTCAAGCTTGTAGTCTTTTTTACATTCAAAATCAGCCCTTCAAGCATTTGGGTCTCCATGAAACATGCCCGAGAAGGTAAACCTTGATTTTCTTGGGCTACACTTTGTGAGCCCCGAGTACCATGTAATTTGTTGGGTTTCCTTCTTTATTGCTTATGATTCAAATCCCGAGTTGGTTCCTGTTTCCAAAACTCATGGAGAAATTCTTAGGTCCGTCCACCGAACAATGATCGCCTGTGCAACAACAAACACAGGCAAGTGGAACCCTCTTGTATTGGGTTCCAACTTGGGCATGCTCTCACCGACCCTGATGCTAGGTGGCCAGCTTGTTTGAGTCCGTCGTTGAACAGGTGACGAGGTCTAGCGGGCGGACATTAGAATTTCTCCAAGTCATTCTTGTGTGCCTTTTGCAACTCTCAATGCTTAATTTTCATAGGTAACAATTTCCACACTCCTCTTTTCTCGTATGCACTTGTCCAGTTGTTTCTATTTATTGAATTAACTTTGATTTGTGCAGGTGGAGAAAGGGAGGTTAGTAAATTGTGCCAAAAAAATACAAAAGGGAAAGAGTAGCCAATGAATAATCAGTGGCATAAATCCAGGGCCTAGTTTGAAAATGCAGCAGTCTCTGCACATATATTTCAGCATAAATTCAGTTAGGTGTGTGATTGATTCGAGAAACTATCATCATTGTAATTTAAACTCAAGT